ATATTGAGTCTCGATAAATTGATCATCCAATCATATTAAAAATTGAATTGACCAATCAGACAAATGTCTGGGATGCTCTTTAATATTAAAATGTAACACCGTATTAATATATAAAGGCCATCAATGAACCATTAGCAACTGAAGAGAATCTGACTGAGGCTGATATAGTGTCTATGGTTAAGGCTGATGCTATGCTAGAATCTGAGACTGTACTCTCAGACACTGATTATCATGAAGGGAATGAAATTGTAGTGTCTAAGATAGAGGTGCTGGGCCCACCTGATGAAAGGTCTTATTCAGTTCCAAGAGCAATCTCCCGACGAAGTATTTACTTCAGATGAACTGAATGTTCGACGCTAACACATTTTATACGTTTCAGGTTTCTCTTAAATTCGTAAGCCCAACAGAGGAGAATCCTGTTTTTCAAACAAGAAAAAAATTGGGAAACGATTGGTAACGCACTCGTATTGTGGATGGTTATGTTTTTTGTTTTTTTTTTGCTTGTTCTTACTCGATACTTCTGTAGAATGATTTAATTCAAGATGAGACATCCCGTTCGTTGCTATTATATGAGTTGAGGAGCCTCTTTGAATCCTTCGATGCCAGTAATATCGAATGGAACGATCCACTCAGCTTCGGTTGCATTGTTGATCGAAATTCGGATATAATTTTTGGAAAGTTGTCAGAAGAGCGAAAGAAGAATTTGAGAGAAATTATAAATTTGGCATATGATCAATACGAAACAAGCCACGCTATTTCCGAATTGGTTAAAGTCCTTTTAGAAAAATCAAAAAGCTTGAATAAAAGGGAAATGATGGTTTCTCTCCCACCTATACCAGCGGATTTCCAAGGAAATGATGAGGAATTTGAAGACATATGCGTGATGCATAGGATTATAGACTCTATGTAGGTAATTGAGCTTCTCCGTCTTGATAACTAACCAATTTCTAATACTCTTATTCTATAGCCGACATATCTGGTGCTACTTTAACGATGAAAACAAGGCTGAGTACACTGAAGGGTGTCAGGCCAAGGCTTAATCGGCATTCCTCCGTGATTTCCGCCTGGTAGTACGAACATTTCCCGTCTGCGGCACATTGGATTTCTGCGGCTAATCGATCTACAAAGTGGCACAGTAGTCTTAGTGATACGAAATCAGCATCGAAAATAGAATCTTAGATTAGTGTAACTTTGGCATGTCAAATGTAACTTAGACGTG